CTGCAGGCTCCTCTGGCTAAAAAAGTGGCGGGTCGACCTGAAGTCTAAGTGGCGCCTAGCAACTGCCCCTTATAGTGGTACCCACCTTTTCGGCCCTGTTCTCGAGCCATATCTGATCGAGGGAAAGGACAAGCGTAAGGTGCTTGCACACCCCTCTAAGAGGGTGGGCAGAAGACGCCAACAAGACTTCCGGAGGCAGCCCTTTCGTGCCGGGCCCACCTGGGATTGGAGACAGCCCTTTCGGGCTGGACCATCCTGCGATTGGTCCCATAACTCTCGATCCTTTCCCCCAGGCAGGATCGCCAGCAGGACCACCAAAACCCCAGAGCCAGGGCTCAATACCAGTCCAAACAGCCCTTTCAGGGCTCTGGAGGCTGGCCATATAGACGAAACAAATGACTCCAGGGAGACCTCTCCCATAGGTGGGCAGCTATCCCTATTCATCGACACTTGGGAGGCCACCACCACAGACTCCTGGGTGATAGGTGTCTATCTATCCTCCAGGACACTTCCTAGCTTGCCCCACCATGAGGAATGTCATCAAGACAAGGCTCATGTCCATGGCCATCTCCCATCTACTGGAGATAGAGGCCATAGAGCCAGTGCCAGTGGGACAGAAAGGGCAGGGATTTTACTCCATTCTGTTCGTCGTACCAAAGGCCTCATGGGGCTGGAGAGCAATATTGGACTTGAAAGGACTAAATTATTACTTGGACTACAAACGGTTCAAGATGCAAACTCTCAAGTCTATCCTGGCCAGCATCAGGAGGGGGGATTTCCTGTCCTCCATAGACCTGACGGAAGCTTACCTACACGTTCCTATCCTTCCCGAGCAACGCAAATTCCTCCGGTTTTGTAACGCGCACCGGAATTTTCAGTACAAAGTGCTCCCGTTTGGCCTTTCCTCGGCCCCATGGGAGTTCACGAAGATCTTAGCGGTATTAGCCGCCCACCTGAGAATGATCCCAGTGCACATTCAATGCGCTCTATCTGGACGATATCCTTATTCAATGCGCTCTATCTGGACGATATCCTTATCCAGTCCCGCTCCTTCTGTTCAGCCCAGTCGGACTGGAACTCACCATCAGGACTCTTCAAGTTCATGGATTCTCTGTGAACTTCCAAAAGAACCATACAGTCCCTGCAAATCACCTCCTCCACCTGGGGGCAGTCATAGACTCGAACCTTTGCAAAGTCTTCCTTTTCCAGGAACGCCAGGACAGCATCCGGACCCCCATACACCAGATTCGAAGAGAGAGGGTAGTTCCTCTAGTCCAGCTGTCACAGTTGCTGGGGAAGATAGTCTCCCGTATGGGGATCGTTCCATGGGCCAAGTTGCATTCCAGAGAGCTTCAGTGGTTCCCTCTTCCATTTCAGAAGCTGAATATGAGCTCTTCCAACAGGAGAGTAAGGGTCCCACGCCAGACACTCTCGTCCCTCCTGTGGTGGACTTCCCCAGCAATGGTCAACGGATCCCTCTTCAAGGAGTGTGCTAGTCTCACCTTGACCACAGACGTCAGCTTATTTGGCTGGGGGGCTCACCTCCAGTCACAATTGGCCCAGGGTCGATGGTACTGTTCAGACTTGAGCCACAGTATAAACTGGCTAGAACTCGGGGCCATTCATCTGGCCCTACGCCACTTCTCCACCATGGTAACAGGACAACATATTCTAGTATTAACAGACAACGTGGTGGCAAAGGCACACGTAAACAGACAGGGAGGGACCCGATCCAAGTCTCTTATGTTCGAAGCTCACAGTTTGAATTCTTGGGCAGAGGCAAATCTCGGCTCACTCAAGGCAGAGCATATATCGGGGGAGGCGAACCAACAAGCAGATTCCCCGAGCAGGCCTTCGCTGGATCACTCAGAGTGGTGTCTAGACCCAGCTCTGTTCAGGAGATCTCGGACAGATTTGGTCAGCCCCAGTTGGACCTGTTTGCCTCCCCGATCAACTCTCAACTGCCCAGATACTACACCAGGTTCCCATCCCCAGGGGCAGAGGGAACGGACGCTCTTTGCAGCGAGTGGCCCAGGGAGTTGCTGTACGCATTCCCTCCCCTCCCACTGATTCCAGCAACCATCCGCAAGATGCTTCAGGAGCAGGCAGAGATCATCTTGGTTTTTCCACACTGGCCGAGATGCCCATGGTTTGCTGACCTCGTGGAGCTTTCCATCTCACCGCCATGGAGGATTCCTCCAGAACGCATCTCCCTCAGCCAAGGGGCCCTTCAACACCTGGATCCCCAGTGGCTCCAGTTGGCTGCTTGGCATTTGAGCAGAGAAATTTAGCCAGACAATCCTATTCATCAAGGGTGATCTCTATAGTCCAAGCTTCCAGGCGCCCCTCGACTAATAGGAACTATGATGCGACATGGAGAAACTTTTGCCTGTGGTGCACTAAGCACCAACTCCAGCCTCTTTCTGTCACCATTCCAAATATTCCAGACTATTTGCTGGAGGATATGGATAGAGGGTTAAACCTAGCACTATCCGCAGGCAGGTAGCAGCCTTATCCACGGTACTTACTTGTGACAATCTGGCTCCTTTAGCCCAGCACCCAATGGTAAGCGCCTTTCTCAAGGGGGCGACTAATGCCAGACCACTGGCGGTTCGTCGCTACCCCTCTTGGGACCTCTCATGAGTTCTACAAGCTCTAATTTCAATGCCATTTGAACCCATCAGGTCTTGTTCCTTAAGACTCCTTTCACTGAAAGTGGCATTCCTGATTGCAGTTACATCAGCCAGATGTATTTCGGAGCTGGCTGCCCTTTCGGTTAGGAGTGATCTGTACACCTTCCATGAGGACAGGGTGGTCCTTCGTTTAGATCCATCTTTCATTCCGAAGGTCAACACCTGGTTTCATAGGACCCAAGAGGTGGTACTTCCCAATTTTTGCCCCAATCCATCCCATAGACTGGAAAGACAGTGGCATAAACTGGACGTATGCAGGGCCCTGCATTGTTATGTAAAACGAACCTCTGCCTTCTGCAAGTCAGAGGCCCTGTTCGTGTCTTTCCAGCCCTCTTCCATGGGTCAGAAGGTCTCTTCTTCGACCACTGGGAGGTGGATTAGGGTGTGCATTGCCCGTGCTTATCTGTCTCAATTCCTACTGGTTCCTGGACACATCACTGCCCACTCCACTCGCAGTGTGGCTACAACAGCAGCCTGATCTACCCAAGCGTCCATTGAAGAAATCTGCAAGGCGGCAACTTGGTCCTCACCTTCCTCCTTCATCAGGCATTATAAGTTGGACAAGTTTGCCTCCTCGGATGCTGCGTTTGGCCGGAGGGTGTTGCAGCAAATGACTTCATTTAGTGGGACACAAGCCCAGACTAGTTCCCCTCCCATAGGGACATGAGCAGCTTTGGTATGTCCCACCAGTGGATTCTCCACTCATCATGCTGGAGAAGGGGCATTGTCTTACCTGAACGCCTTTTCTCAGCATGATGATGGAGAATCCACACCCACCCTTTAAGGGCAGTCTGGTCCTGTGTCAGGGATAGGAGGAGCCAATGCATTGGACTTCGTCATTTTTGCTTTGCCTTGGTCGAAAACTGGGTACAGTCCAGCCCAGCGGGAGGTGTGGCAATTTTCTGACTTAGTCTCAACTGAGCAGGAAGGCTGAGATTACCCACCAGTGGATTCTCCATCAACATGCTGAGAAAAGGTGTTCAGGTAAGACAATACCCCTTCTCTTCCTCCTCCATCTGCAATTAATCCTACATTAGGGTATTTCTTTTTTAACCTCCAAGGGATAGGAATTTAATATTTATATCTTACTGTACATCTATGAAACTGCACAGAAATAACATTTTGCTGCTGCTAGAAAAAGAAGCAGCTGACATCTGTTTAAAGAAGGCTCCTAAATAGTTTAAAAATGCTGGCAAGCAACTGCCAAGAAGAGGTTTAGTACCAAATTGTTTATTAAAGGCCCAAGAGATCAAAGACAACCCATTTGAGATTACCTGTGAGTAGGTAGCAGGTTACATAGCTTTCACAAACCTGGAGTGGGTCTACTAGTAACTGTACCATGCAAGTTGTAAACTAGTATGTTTGATCAAATCAGTCAGTCAGTCAGTCAGTCAGTCAGTCAGTCAGTCAGTCTGTCTATCATCTGTCTGCCTGTCATCTGATTTCTGTGGGCAGTGTGACATCTAGAAGGATATTTATTAAAGATGCCAGCAAACATTAAACATGTACATAGAGGAAACTTTTGGGGATGGTTGAATTAAATATAGTAGTAAATAAAATTAATATTTCTGTAGTGCATTTCAAGCAATTTAAAATGCCATGTTTATATTATTTTCATAATACAATTCTGTGCAAAAAATATCAGAATAGCATATAGCCAGGAAGTGAAAAAGAAACCAACATAACATTCAAACCAGGATGCTAAGTGGTACAATGCAACAGCAATATTTCTTAGCAGGATTATAATTCTGTTTTACTTTTCATATGACCCTGAATGCTTCAAAAGAGAAAAGTCAAATAAATTTTGTATCCATACCATTTATCAAATAAAAATAAAGAATATTGCTGTTTTGATTTTTCCCTGCTAAAAACACTCTAGTTTTGAGCAAATGTCTGATTGAGAAATATATCAGTTCTATCATATAATGGAGAAGGATTACATAGAAAAAAGGGACTGACCAAACTAAGCATACTACTCTTTTGCATTGTTTTATGTTAGCTTCACTTCCACAGTGAAATAATTCATTGCTCATACAAATGATGTGAAGATTTCATTGATGCTGCAAGTTAAAATGCATTCTACACATTACTTTCTGTAACTATTTTGATTTATATCAATGTTTAAGTTTTAGTGCTGTTGCAGTGCTAATCTAGCAATGCATTCAGTTCCATTTATTGTTTAAATGTGCCAATATTTAATGTGACACATTTAAGTAAGGCATGTTGGTGGTATATAAATTTTAGAATAAATAAGAATTAAAGAAAAAAAATCACAAATCAAGACTCATCAGCTGACAGCCAGAATACCTGGGTCTGGGAATAGATTCTGGTTTCTTGGTTCTGGGAGAGGGAATGCTGAGCGTGCCATGACTCAGAATGATGGGTAGGTGAAAATCCTCTGTCCTCAGCCACTCTGAAGTCTGGGGCCACCCGCTGCCATAAATCAATCAATCAATCAGTCAATCAATCATTTATTCCAGTGAGATTTCTTTTTTTCAAACAGAAATATGGGAACTAGGCTACATTTTTGTACAACTGTAACCATTTAAATTATAATCAGAAATAGATTACATTGATAATAGCTGATTCAGACTGATTCTAAAGCAGAGAAAACGCAGTGCAAACTGTGCTCAACAAAGACTATATCAAAGCTAAACAAAACCCTTAAAATTAATAATAGCACATTATTCTCTTTATACGAGTGGATGGTGATGATTCAGTTGCTGTCCTTATGCTACAGAATTATATTCGGCTCTTTTTCCCCCCCTCCATGCATTTCTTCAGTAAGCATGATTCTTGCACTAGGCAATTGCTTTTTTTTTTCAGGACAAACAGATGAAATAATGGTGGCTGTGAATGAATGTTCGGAGTCAATGATGGACTAAATCAGGGAAGGTAACTTTGGGGAGAACTTGTGGTCTTCAGATTTTGGCAGCAAATTACATTACTCTGACAAGGAAAGTATCTGATGATAATAATTTTTAAAATTTATATGCTGCCAATTCCCTGTGACTCTGGGTGGTTGATAATTGGTGATAGGAACCTTGTCTTTACATGAATCATGTTTAGGGTGACACAAAGCAAATTATTAATTTTGATCCGTGCTCTCTCCAGTTGCCAGGGTACTGTCTATCACCCCACTTATTTCTTTTTCCTGAGCAGATGGGCTAAGTACCAGACATACCGTGAAGAAGTGACCTAACAATATTTTCAATTTATGAGGTCTATGTAGAGCCCAACGGTTCTCTAAATTATGTCAGAGGATGACACTCCGCTTTACATTACAAATACTCTTCATTTAATAGAATTTAATAAAAGGATCTAAAACTGATGAGGTACCCATAGTTGCTTACCCTGTCACAGATGGTGAGCAAGCTTATGGTCAGTCCAAATGCAAGGAAGGTGACATTGTTGAGTGATCAGACTGAACTTAATATTTATGTCTACACTAAATTGGACAGGGTTCCATTTGTTCTAAAGCAGGGGTGTCAAACTCGCAATGTCACATGACGTCGCAATGTATCGTGACCTTTTTTCCATTGCCGGCAATGGGATGGGCATGTTTTCGCCATGACGCATCTGGCCCGTGGGCCCAGCAGTTTGACACCCCTGTTCTAAAGGATCACTTTTCACAGTCTGAAGTTGCTTCTACACCTGTCTCTTCATCTTGGTCCCAAGAAGGTATCCCAGCTAGTGTTTCTAGAGAATGCAGACTTAGTCCTTGTTATATAAGGCTTTGATAACATACAGGTCGGCTCATTGTACATAATTCAAAACAAGACCACACTTTTTAAGGGGGAGGAACATTTTATGCCTGTTGAAATATGTATAATGAAAAGAAGGGAATGGGGAAGGAAAGAAAATGAAAGGACAATGGTGACCAGAAGTAGCAGTCAGGGTAACTGCAGATCCATGAGCACCATTAAAATAATATGAATGTTCCTGCAAAATATTCTTTAGGATTGTATTCAACTATATCAAATGTGAAGTGAATGTTAAAATGAGAAAAGTTCAATCCAAATGCTTTAAACCCTTTTTACTATTAAAATATTGCTAACTTAGTCAAAGATGACAATAAGTAATGACATGTCAGTCATGAATAAATGATATCCAGTCAACCCTACAATTGAAATTATTTCCACAGAAGCTGAGGAACCAGTCTGCCTCGACCAACTTAGTATTTGTCTTCTTTACAACTGAACATGCCAGTCACAACTTTTGCACATTTTCCTTCTTCAGTCTCATTTAGAGGAATATCATTTGAGTACAGTTACTTTTTTATTTACCGAACTTTAAGGATCAAGAGACAAAAGGAGCAAATAATGAAAACAAATCTCACTCAGTTGTTTGCTCACATATTTGATGCAGTGTGTATGCATGTGAGAGGGACGTTTTGAGAAGCCAATTCAAGACATAAAAACATAAAAATCCCTTTATTTAAATTTATATAGCAAGTCAACAACAATATTCCCCAGTATTCTGCTTTAAACAGCAGCCAATCAGATGACCATGAGTGGTGCATAACCAGGCCATGATGGTGACAGCCTTCTGCATTTTGACTCTCAGCATTTATAATCAGAACTGTGCTACTCCTAAACTTGAAACTTCTGTGTAGCTATCAAAGCTATCAATCAAGTTAAAATCTTTTGGTAGCCATCCACTTCTGCAGTATTGGATTCAAAACATTATGTATTGCTACAATTTTACATTTTGCCTAAACATATTTGCTCATTTTTGTTTTCTATTTTTGCTATATAAAGAACCAATCAGTTTATTCATTTCTTTACCGTACTATTGACAATCTATAATTCTTCATCAAAAAGACAAACTTTTGTGCTTCAAACCTTTGGGTGCCTTTCTTTTTGTACACTATTAATTAATCTTTTTTTAAAAAAGGAAGGGCCAGTATTTTACAGGGTGTATCAAAGTATCGATTTGTATAGCAGATGTATAATGTTATGATATACTGTATGCTATCTTAAAATCTAAAAACAGCTAATGTTGATTTTTCCTTTAGAGTATAAAGATGTCTTTCTATTGTCAGCAAAGGGGCATTACTTGATCCAACCCAGTGAGTTATGTCCTCTAAGATTTTACACTGAGGTATTACAGCTAACTGATAGCTTATGAATGAACATATGAGGTTAGAATTTTGCACTTATTTTCACTTAATCTCAACTGCCATTTTCTGCTCAAATAATTTACAGCTTCTTTTTGTACATAAAACTTCTTTGGCTGATCTATATGCTTTAAAAGGGAAATTGAATCTTCATTTGCTATTTCTCCCTCCACTCTCCAATGTAGTTCTCCCATCTATAATAATATTTAGGGTCTTATTTAGGATTTTATTGTTCAACATTTTCTTGTGAAATCATCTACCAATATAGTTGAAATGAAGCAAGCTTATTCTTCAGTGCTGATGTGTATATGAGACAAATGCAGCACTGATTAATTAAATCCAAATTAATTAATATAAATCTTTTTGTTTTTAGGAAATCCCCAGTTTGTGCCTTTGAAACAGTGTATATTTGCAGACTAATCTCATATTCAGGTTATAATTGAACACTTAAAATATCATAATGGAATACAAGAATGAAATCATTGCTGCTTTCAAGCCCAGGATCAATCTTTCAGTAAAGATTTTCTTTTTATCTATTGGCAACAACATTACACAAATGCTATTAAAGAAGAAAAATGATTTTGAGTGTTATCATACAATACTGTAGAATTTTTTTTATCTGGCAAACTTGTCTCACACACATTGGAGACTCTAGAATAACTTACATTAATTAAAAACAATCAAAAATAACTTATTCCTCTTTTAGCTAGCCTGAAGCTCTAAAAAACAATCTATTAGCAAAAAACATTGGAGATGGTTCTTCATTGCTTCTTTACAGCTCCCCATAGTAAAATGGATGGGAGGGGAAAAAAACCTACCAATGGTTCAGATTTTTAAAATAGAGCCCCAACTTAGAACAAACAACAGAGAGTAGGTCCTAAAATTGTTGTGGGTCATTCATTTTCCATGAAGTACTAAACAAGGATGACTTTGGTTTATTGCTATCCACATAAGCTATAGTTTAGAAGTTACATTTAAAAAGCATAGATCCCAATTAGAATGCCATTTAGGATATGTTTAAGATCATTTCTGAAAGATCCTTAGTAGCACCCACATCTCTGGCCAGTTTGTGGGTTATACCAACTGTGTGACTTTTTGTAAGATGTTCTTTTGCACTACTATGCACAGTGAAAATTCATTGTTCTTTTTTTCTTTTTTTGAAAAGACAATGATCATAATCATACCATATATTTAAACTTAACTTGCCTTTTTTATAATTTGTCTTTGAATTTCTTAAGGACAGGGCTTCAAGTTTTTTTAAAAAAATTCTATGTTTTAATCAAACTATCACATCTGCCTATAAAATATGACCGGGTGCCCATGCTCTATCCCACATATGTCAGACTGAAATTAGGGAGACAGACTGGAAGAGTCAGTAACATTTTCAGGGCATTTTAAATGTTAGATTCATTACTAATTTTCATTCTAAAGTTCCTATTCCAAAAAATGGTAGCTTACTAATAGGTAACATGACAAAATAATCTTACCTTTTTGTATAGACTTCTCAGATCTCTGTATTGCCACATGCTATTTAAGACCTGAGATGCTGCCTTCACTACTTTTGGTGAGTGCCTATTAGGGAATTAAAAAGTTGACACATATGAGGAACTGAAAAGCACTCATTGGTTCAATCAATAATGTATGACAGTGTTTCTTCAATTCCCAGAAGTCCCCAGCCAATTGCAGCAGCATGGCTGTCTGGGGATTTCTGGGAATTGAAGTCCATACATCTTAAAGTTGCTGAAGTTAAGAAACACTGTTATATGCTTTGGAAAAAAAGATCAAAACTTCTTTTTGAAAATCATATTTATTAAAGATTAAGAGAGAAAGAATGAACCCATTATCCCTAACCCTAATCATAATATGGTTGGTTTTTCAATTGGTGTGATATTTGAACCTGAGAAATACTATACTGTCATTTTATGAATATTCATTTGTTTTGACTGTCCCTCATACTTATGTCAGAATTCAACGTCTTAATACATTCTTGATTACTGCTGGTTTGCATGTATGATCTGCCCCAAATTTGTACTTCCATTATCTGTAAAGTTTTCTAATACGCAATAAACAATAAGACTCCAGGAAATCATTAGTATAGACCAGGGGTAGTCAACCTTGGCTCTTTTATGACTCGTGGACTTCAACTCCCAGAATTCCTGAGCTAGCCATGCTGGCTCAGGAATTCTGGGAGTTGAAGTCCACGAGTCATAAAAGAGCCAAGGTTGACTATCCCTGGTGTAGACTATAAATTACAGCTAACAAGCAGATGATGATTGGCAAAACGTACTTGTCTCCTTTACTTTTGGAAATGCCAACAAGTTTCTCAATTCCTCCTGCATCCCGTAAGGCCTTGGCATTTTCCATATTTTTTGTGATGACTTCATGCAAGGTGCAGCAAATGGCAGTTACGGTATCATCAGACATGGTCTTGCTTGCTGAATTGTTACTGTTGTTGCCTCCTGGAAGCCGGTGAACCAGGTCCCGCATGGCATACTTGCCTTTTGGAAAGGGGGGAAAAAAATGATGGAAGCAGTCATATATTATAAGTCAAAAACCAAACAACAGAAGCACAAGAAAGAAATCACATGATGTCTGGGTGTTTTATTTTGCAGCTTAGCATGTGGTTGTTTGTTTATTTAGTAAACTCTTCCATATAATTAGTAGCATAATAAGTAATGGAGAATTATTATATTTCAACTTTTGCTCACTAACTCTACATGTCATTTTTTCACTGGGAATATTATATAACCCTGATATACAACAGGGAAGAGAACCATACATATTGAAAATAATGCTATTTGAACACTTTAGTGTCTGAGTTATGCAGCAAAATAATATTGCTTAAAAAGCAACTAAATTGTTGCTTCTGGCTGGTATTAAAATGCGGATAGGTGATCCAGAAAGAATTAATCAAACTAGGAGGCCAGGGATTTCAGGCAATTTCCATGCTGTCTCTTATAGTATGTATCATTACCAATTCTGCTTTAAAAGTTTTCCTGCTTATCTTAAATGAATTTTGATTTACGGAGGGTGTGTGCTTGCAGACAGGAATAACTGAAAAACACTTTCCTCTTTTAATTAAGAAAGTTGAGCTAACAATCCCATATACCAATTGAGGTATCCTGCAAGGGAGATTTACTTATCTGATTGCTGACTCGTATTATCACAAATGCATTTTCTATTTATTTTATCCTGGAACCAGATTATATGCTTTATTTTATCTTATTGATAAGGTTGCAAGACTAATCAATTAATAAACTATTCTAATTCTAATCACATTCCTCCTTATTCTATTAATTGAATTTTCTATAGGATCAAAGAGCTTTTTATTATTAGAGGAATATCAGTTGAACAGAATTTATAAAAACAAATAGTACAAAGTTTCAGAGAGGTAGCGATGTTGTGTACATCACATATTTATATGTATGACAATCTCCCAATGATCATGTATGGCAAAGCAACTGCAAAACAGCAATAAAAAATAACCTATTTGTCAAAATAGCTGTATTTCCCTACCTCTGTAAATACAGAATCTTTAGTGAAAAACATTTCCACCCCGGTTTTCTATCCCAATGGGCACACAAACCTAACCCTGTAATAAAATTATAATCTGACATGAATGTTACTAAACACAGATGATCTATGGAAACCTAATTAACAATACACTGTTTCACAGATTTGTTGGTGAAATTACTTGTAAATAACACTACACGAGACAATGAATATATGCTGATAGCTATCAAACATCTGCATATATTCTTTGTCTCAAAAGAAATGATTCAGAAATCATTATATTGTGAAGCTTTCTGCTTAGAATTTGGCCGGTTAATCCATATTAACAAATTATAGTTGATTTATTAGTTAGCATTAGCTTCTAAATGTTGGTAGTGATATGCTCTGTCATAACAGTGCAAAAAGTATATAATTTAGCAATCTGTATATAGATATAATAGACATAGATATATGTATAGCCAGTGGTATAAAGTTATTTAATTCAAGATTTAAAAAGTCAAAAGCCAGCAAATATTTAGTGGATAAACTTATGTATGGAAAAGTGCACATACTAATTGATACACATACACATTGCTTCTTACATCTCCACTCCCATCCACGCCCAAATCCCCATAGCTCAAATTACTGTGTTTTTCTTTTTGTTTTGGAAGGTGTGAAAAAAAAAGATAAATCATGAGACCTGTCATCATCTCCTCCCATTAGAGAACGCTATTAGCAACAGTGACCCACAAATTCTGGGCAATTTCACTGAGGAAAACATTCTTTAATAGAGAAGTCTCCTTCCTGGATAACGCAGGTAGACATTTGTGTAAGCTTTACTCAATAAACTTATATAGCCATATCCGGCTGCAAATCTGCTAATATCAAAAAGAAATAAAATGAACTTTTTACTTTTGTCTAACATTATTTTTGATATAGTGGAATTACCGTACCAGTTTTTCAAGAAATCATTATATTTAGAGACAAGTCTTTTCCTGGCATAACTACAGTCATAAATCTTATATTGAACAAACTGGTACTTTGAAAACAGGTTCCTTGTACAAAATAACTGAGTAATTGGCTAGTATTATCCCTATAACTTACTGTACAGATGAACATTTAATTCAGTGGTTCTCAACCTGTGGGTCAGGACTCCATTTGGGGTCGAACGACCATTTCACGGGGGTCACCAAACAACACAGTTTGCCATTTTTCCCCTTTTCCTTAGCTGTGCTACTCCCTTTTATTCTATTGGCTTTTGAAAGCCAATAGAATAGACTCTCTTGAATAGAGTCTAATTCTATTGGCTTTCAAAAGTCAATAGGAATTGTCCAGGCTGTCTCTGCCCTGCTCAGCCCATCAAAAGTCCCATTCTGCAAACGGTGCTGCACCAGTTGAGTAGTCCTCAACTTACGACCGGTTGAGTAGTCCTTGACTTACGACCGGTTGGGGGTCGCGGCATTAAAAAGGTTGAGAACCACTGATTTAATTATCATTAAAATGACTTTTACTTGTCTCTTCAGACCAAAAAGATCCTTTATAGAAATTTTGAAAGGTCAATAAATTTCCTGGAAAGAAGAGGTACGGTAAATGCAGATTTGGTAGCTTTGAGGGTTTTGCAACAACCAAAAGTTGGAGTTGGAGTTGGCTTTTCAATAATGTGTGTGTGTGTGTGTGTGTGTGTGTGTGTGTGTGTGTGGTGTGTGATACACATAAGCACACCCACACCCACATATTTGGGGGAATATATGGTATGTGTGAACTCTACTGTCTTGACTATTGTAGGTTAAGAAGATAAAAAATATTGGAACAATATAATAAGGCAATGGCCACAGAATAGACCTTACATATTTTAAAAGGCAAAGAATCTCTAAGAATTTGGAAATCTCTCTACTTATATCAGCACAGTAATGATACAGTACTGCAGGTAAACTTGCCATTATATTAGTGGCACAATTCTGTCCTGTACACCCTTACTGTATTGTCTTTCAGGCTTATATTACCTTGTGTTCCGTGAATGCTTTCTTATTTTTGATAAGAATAAGATGTGTTTGAAATAGAGCTACCCTTTTACTTTTTAGTAATGAGCAAAAAATCTGAAAATAATTAATTTCATCTGAAATATCAATGTAACTGCCAATTGTTTTAATGTACTATAATTTTCAACTAGTTTCTTTCCCATTCTATTTTGGCTGATAAAGAGTTTAAAAAGGTGGATAGGGTTTTTAAATCTCATATTATAAGTATTTCTTTACTTCGGGTCTGGAGGAAATATCACAGAAGTGATTCTAAAATTTCATTATGGGCTATACCATGGCATGCGATTGAGGGGATAAAGAGAGGAGTTAAGATGGATAGTGTTTCTTATGCACAACTACTTAGATGGGATGGCAAAAATTGGCAGTTAAAATCTTTGGAAGATTTAGCACAAGAAAATATTACATACTCATGGTTTCAGTATAGACAAATAGTGGATAGATGGATGATAGATCGTAATGTGGGTTTGCTTAGAGAAGATGAGAACTTTTTTAAACAAGTAAAAGATCAAAGACGAACTCACATTAAGAGAATTTATGGGGTGTTAGTAGCATTAGATTCAGAAGCAGAATTAGTTAAAGAATGTATAATTAAATGGGCACAAAACTTTGGTGAACCAGTTCTACTAGATACTTGGGAAACTATTTGGGTGAGGAATGTCAAATTTACACAAGCCCAGAATTTAAGGGAGAATTTTTACAAAATGTTTTATAGATGGCACCTTGATCCACAAAAAATGTCTTGTATGTATTCTGATTTACAGCCTAAATGTTGGAGATGTGGATGTTTGGATGCTACTTATTATCATATCTGGTGGTCGTGTAAAAATATAAAAGCTTTTTGGATTAAGATATGGTGGAATATTCAAAGAATTTTTAGAAGGAGGGTAAAATTTACCCCACAATTGTTTTTGTTAGGTATTGTTACTGATTGTGATACTAAAGAGACTACATTGATGTTAAATTTAATCATAGCGGCAAGGTTGTTAGTAGGGCAATGTTGGAAGAAGGAATCTTTTCCTACTTTGCAAGAGTGGTTTTTTAAAGTTTCTTATTTGGCGGAAATGGCAAAGATTTCGGCTTTCTTGAAGGATCAATCGCAAGAGAAGTATTTTGTGGTGTGGAAAAAATGGATTGATTTTATACAATACAAGTTGGATATAAAAATATTATTTAGTTTTTTAATAACTCATATTTAAAATTTAAAATATTTTATAGATTTTATTTATTTATTTATTTTTCTATCTTTTTCTTTTTTCCTATTTTTTTTTTAAGTATTTTTTTGTACTTATGTTTTTTCTATACATATATTATTGCTAAGTATCTTATAATTTGTTTAATTAATGTATTTAGATTTATTCATGTTTTATATTTTTTTTTAAGATTTTTTGAAGAAATTTTAATTAAGCCTATATTCAGCTCTGGGAAGGTCGGGGGAGGGAATGGGAGGGTTGGGGAGGTTTGGGGAAGGGTTGTATTGTTTTGTAAAATTTTAAAAAACTTTCAATAAAAAAAAAGAGTCCACAGAAAACACAAAGCTCAGAAGGGTATTATTATCTCCCCTGACATTTAACTTTTTTTCTTTAAAGATACTGTCTATATTATGGTAACAAATTGAGGCTACGATTAAAGATCACAGCTTCACAATGGCTCTTTGCAGAGATGCATGAAAAGATATCTTGGCCCTCTGTACTCTGGTAGGAAACAGATGGAAAGAAAAGGTAAGAGAAAATGATTATGCTCGGTATCATAATCAGGGATCTTGAGTCAGTAAATACATTGTTGTCACTGAAAGTTGGGTATGAATCAGGACAGAGGATATTCCTGCTTTGCATCTGAAGCAAAATGCAGTAGCACAGTAGAACTGTGTAAGGAGCTCTTAAGCTAAATATGGAAGCCCAATAAGATGCTGAATGACAATTGAATGTTGCTGGGCTATAAAGGAGAGTTCTTCCAACTTCAGACTGCATACGGATGTTTCTGTACAGGAACCTCTTGGCTGTCCATGAGTGCCTGTCAGGTTTAACTCTACAGGTAGGAATGTAAAGGAATTCATAAACTCAAAAGAATTTCAGGAATTCTTTTAATTATTTATTAATTTAATTATTTAATAGCTGTTTAAAAAAGTATCAACTTACTCAACTATTTGCAGAACAAGCCGTACAAATAATGTTCAAAAGAGTGGAGATTCTCAGTCATCCAGGTCATAGTTGCCTCAATGGTGCTTTTTCCAAAGGCAACTGGACTGGGTTTTTTCCTTGAGGAAGAAGAAAACCTTTTGCTTCTCATCCAAGGAGCTTCAGCAGTTATGATAGTGGGAGGGGGGAGGGGGAATGGAAGGATAGGTACTGACAGTTGAGACTCTACTGACAGTTGAGACTCAACTGTTAAGTACCTATCCTTCCATCAAATATTGACAGTTGAGACAGTTGAGAAGTGAAACATTTTGTTCTTCTTCCAAGGAAAAAACATTCCAGTTATCTTTTGAAAAAACACCTTTGAGACAATGTTCAAAAGTGCTTGTATTCTGTTTTTCTTCCTGCCTTTACATCACAGATGTCTGGTATTTTCTTCTGGAAGGATTGGGCTGTCTACATCTGCCTTGTTTTCAAATGGCCACCTTTGCTATCATATTCATTTTCCCTGGCTAGGTGAGAACTGAATCAGTTTGGTGTAGTGATTAAGACATCAGGCTAGAAACTGGGAGACCATCACTATCCCAGTAGAAAAACCAGCTGAGCAATCTTGTCCTTCTGTCATCTTAGGAAAAAGACAATGGTAACCTTTTCTGAAAAACCTTATCAAGAAAACTAGAAGGACTTCTCCAGGTAATCTCCAACAATTGGACATGATTGAATGGAAGGGGGAAAAAAGGTGAGAACTTTCACACTATAGTTGACATTGATCCCTTTTGATTTCCAGCTCCATTTTTTCCCAACTAGTGTTGTGTGGGCTGAATGCTTCTGTGTACATCAAGGCATCCCTCTGTTTTGTACTCTTGACTCTTCAGGTGGACATCATCATGTTTCCATAGGCTAGATGAACAGGACTGTATTCAAGATTTGAGTCACAAGTGTCAGAAGAAGTGGGCCTGATGATACCTTCAAACTGTGGTTAGGATCAAGGTTCAATGGCTCTGTGACTCGCTGATTATTTTTTCTTAGTCCTCTTTAGCCAACATCATAATAGTTCTAATGATGTGGAGAAGATAACCAGTTTCTTAATGAAACCCTGGTTTTATGAATTGTGTATTAAAATAACTAGATTTGATATCATAGCCCTATCTCATGTATTTATTTTTATTCCTTTTGATACATGCTCCAACAGTTGATACTCTAATGTAGAAATATTGGTATTGTTATAGGAAAGATGTAAGCCTCCTACTATTAAGAAATATACCTTTGAAGACATACAATTCCTTACTTGCAGAAAAGGAAGGAATAGAACTCTAATGTATTTTAAATTCACTCTGATCAAAATGGTAACATACAATGGTACCTTGGTACTCAACTGCTTTGAAACTTATCAAATTTGATACTCAATACATTTTGATGTGAAAATTTTGTCTCGGTACTCATCATTTGTTTAGTACTCAACACACAAGCTAGAATCTGCCGGTGTCAGCTGCCTTGTGACTTACTACATTATTCCTTATGGGAAAATTTTATTTGGTACTCATCATTTTTGGTATCATTGTGCCTTCCAGAACCAATTAACAATTAGTACCAAGGTACCACTTTAAAAAAAATCTCTGTCCAGTTGTTTTTTAAGGAAGTAATATCTTTTGGGGAAGAAAAATGTATACACTATAGGTAAAGATATGGTACAGTGATAATTTCTTAATTAGCTTCAATGGAAATTCTATGTGCATAATTAATCTTCTTGATGGAAAGGCAATTGCGCACAGAAATGATGTCACAGTTTTAGTATCCTTTACTGCTTTGCATAGCTTAAAAGTAAGATCATTTAGGGTTTGATTCAGTCCATTATATAAGGCATGCAGGGAAATATCTCCACAGGATTCAATTAAATTGTATTTTCTTTATCTCATTAGTAATCTGAGGGCATCCTGAGGGCTGCTATTATTGCTGCTGTTGTTGTTGTTATTATTATTATTAGCTGCCCATCTTACCACAGGGTAACTCACCATAACTGAGGTTCAGTGGCATATGCAGCTCAAGGGTTTATAAAGATGCTAAAGATGATGGGAGATCTCTGCACATCTCAATAAACATTACTTTCCAAGAAGTTACAGATTACAAATTACAGTTTACAAAGTAAAATTTACCTTTAAATAAAAATTGATAGAAAAATTATTAAAGCAAGATTTTAAGTGGAACAGCAAGGAAATGACAAAGAAAAATTATTCATAATACATACAGTATTTGTTTCCTGATTTCAGGCTGCTTCTGATTCTTGGTACAGCCAATTCGCACAACATGTGCTTAGTTTAAGAAGGTTTTCATCAAAAGCCTTTTGCAAATTTAAGCATACATTAACTTGTGACATGTTGTAATTTATGCATAGTGGATGCATCTTTGAATGACTGTTTGAGCCTGATTCCAGTTCTAGTGTTCACTATTTCTTGAGAGAAGCCTAATGTATGGGTTAGAGATGCTGTAATAACTGGTTATTAGAAAATGGAACACATGAGCAGCAAAGTGTGGGAGAAGCATTGAGATACTCTACAATTCAGAAGAAGGGTAAAAGAAAAAGCCTGTAAGATAAAGGGATCTCCAGAACATTGGTTACAGCATTTCCTTATCCCCAAATTAGTATGCAATAATCCATTCTTGAATAGATAACAAAAATAAATGATTTAAGGATTTGGACTTTTTTTTCGTATATGCAGGACTAAAGAGTCTGAGCTTTTACATTTCTAAAAACAGAAAACTGAGAAGGAAAAGACAGAAAGTTTTAACAGTTAATGGCACACAAAGTTAGAAATACCACCCTCTGCAGCTAATTCCGAGCAAAGAAAAGCAAATCATGCCAGAGTAATTAACGTGAAATTCAGTATCCATTAGGTAAATTGATGCAGTAGTAGGGTTTGTATATGATCACAGTTTAACTATCTCTGCTAACTAAATAATCAATGCTTATGACCTGAGATTAATCCAGATTTTATAATAATACAGACAACAGGAATGCCTAATTATAATATGCAACACCTCCAAACTGAACTGGATTCTAATTCTTAATCTATTTTCCCTTTCCATTTGAGAAGTGAAATTTGTGGTGGTATTCTTTCTTTTTCTAATGATTCCTTCCCCTTGACTTTATAATAGGAGGATAGCTTATCAGACAAATCCATGGGGATGAAAGATGCTTGAACAAGTGAATAAAGAGAATTTAAATATACCTAAGAAAAAGGGCAATGGAGTGTCGGGCAACTTAGGTACCCTTCTGCCCCTGGTAGCAGCCAACCCTGGCCTAGAGCAGTCGCTTATGCACCCACTGACCTGTTTGCAAACTGCCCTGGGTTCACAACTTCCTTCTGGCTTCCTCATTCACTTTTATTTGTTGGAAGCCAGCAAGAAGCTGTGAGGAGGTGCTTGGTCAATGACTTGTGAGTCTCACTTAACAAAAGCAACACGTACTGCTGGGATTGCTGTTGCTAAGTAATGCAGTTATGTAACACAGCATTTTGCAAATTATCTCTTAGCAACAGAAATTCTGGTCTACTGCAACTACCACTATTACTATTGGTAAGCAAGAAATTTATATGGACCACTTATACCCCAACCCACTAGAGAACTAACTTGAGTATTATTCTTTGTGAAGATTCAATTAAATTCTAAACTATCCCTTTTCTGAGTCACATTATCAATTTGTATCAAAACACTGAATCAAATTGTTGTCTTTGAATTGATCTAATGATTCAATACCTCTTACACATATAGATTCTATCCTTGCAAACTAAATCAACTTCCTAATTAGGTAAATGCCACTCAGCTGTCTGAAAACATGAACTGAAATGGATTGAGCAAACTGAGCAATCATTTCAATTTCATTAGAACTGATCCTTACACTCCCAATGAACAACACCCAGCCAACATCATATAAGGATGCGTATGCATTTTAAGAAATAGCTCATAGTGCTTGGAACACTTTTTGAGACCCCTTTCTTTAGGTACAAGTAGCTATACTATACTTATGAGCTAAATGTAGGTATATGTGAGTAAATTGCATTTCAAGAATTTTTATTGTTCCCTTTCAGTGATTTTTGTGTGTGTTGGAAGCTGGATTTATATTCTAATGTGTGTTTTAAATAAGTGTTCTGGCTATGTTGAGACTCTAGAAAGAGTACAGAGAAGAGCAACAAAGATGATTAGGGGACTGGAGGCTAAAATAAGGAACAGTTGCTGGAACTGAGTATATCTAGTTTAATAAAGAGAAGGACGAGGGGGGACATGATAGCAGTGTTCCAATATCTCAGAGGCTGCCACAAAGAAGAGGGAGTCAAGCTATTCTCCAAAGCGCCTGAAGGCAGAACAAGAAGCAACGGATGGAAAGTAATCAAGGAGAGAAGCAACATAGACTAAGGAGAAACTTCCTGACAGTTAGAACAATTAACCAGTAGAACAACCTGCCTCCAGAAGTGGTGAATGCTCCAACACTGGAGGTTTTTAAGAGGAGACTGGACGGCCATTTGTCTGAAATGGTATAGGGTTTCCTGCCTGAGCAGGGGGTTGGACTAGATGACCTCCAAAGTCCCTTCTAAGTTTTATTATTATTATGGATCATCGCACAGTCAGCCAGATGTTCAGACTGGATTTGGCATTTTGTCTACCTATCGAGTCCTTACCCAGGACCTGGGATAGGCAGATGTGGATGCTTGATGGTATTACAGATATCGTCGCAGGATGGAAGCAGTTCCTAGTAAGGCCGCCTTTTGCTATTGACTAATAGCGAATTTGTCAATGCCAATGGTGTTCAAGTGGTGCTCCAGTTGTTTTGGGATTGCACCAAGGAGCCTATTACTATTGGTACTACCCTTGCTTGCTTTTGCCACAGTCTTTCTATTTCTATTTGTAGATCTTTGTATTTTGTTATCTTCTCCAGTTCTTTCTCTTCTATTCTGCTGTCTCCAGGCACTGCCACGTCCACTATCCAGACTTTTTTGTCTTTCTTATCGACAATTGTTAAGTCTGGGGTGTTATGTTGCAGGTGCTTGTCTGTTTGAATTCTGAAGTCCCAGAGCAGTTTAATTTTATCATTTTCTATGACTTTCTCTATTTTATGATCCCACCAGTTTTTGCTTACAGGCAAATGATATTTTTTGCAGATCTTCCAATGCACCATTGTTGGTACTTTGTCATGCCGCTGCTTGTAATCAGTCTGTGCAATCTTCTTGCAACAGCTTACCAGGTGGTCCACTGTTTCTTCAGCTTCTTTGCATAGGCGGCACTTACTGTCTGTTGCTGTCTTCTCAATTTTGACTTTATATGCATTTGTCCTTAAGGCTTGGTCTTGTGCAGCCAGAATTAGTCCCTCGGTCTCTTTCTTCAATTTTCCTGCTCTTAGCCATTGCCAGGTCTTGTTATTATCTGCTTTCCAAGCTATTTTTTTAATGTATTGGCCATGTAGTGCTTTGTCTTCCCATGCCTCTATTCTGTTCTTCATTTGGTCTTTCTTGTAGGCCAGTTTGGTCTCTCCAGTAGTCAGTAAGCCTTCCTGATATACTAATTTCAGTGCATCTTCATCATTGTTCTTCAGATATTCTTCCAAAGCCATTTTTTCTTCTTCAACCATCTGATGTACTTGTAGCATTCCACGCCCACCTATTTGCCTTGGTAGATAAAGTCTGTCAATGTCACTGCATGGATGAAGGGCGTGATTCATTGTCATTATTTTTCTGGTTTTCCTATCCA